TATATGTTATATATAGCACTGATCAAAAAAATGGAAACAGAGAAAGTTAAAATAAGTGAAGCACTAATAAAAAGCCTAATTCCAAAAGAAACACAAGACAAACTAGCAGAGCTATTAAACACAAAATTAAGACAACAGTTTGCAAATACAATAGCAATAACAACTTAGGACATATTTACAAACAAATATAAAAAATATGTTGTGAAAAAATTATTAAATACAAAAAAAAAATTGGAATAATAGATAAAAGTAAAAGGAAAAAAAGATAAGAAGCTGAAAAAACCAAGAAAACAAAAAAAACCAGATCAAGAAACAAGAGAAAGAAAAAAAAAATAAGAGAAAAATAAAAGCAAGTTAAGAAAGAAGTAATAAAGACAATATTAGGGCTTGTTATAGAAGAAAGAAGACCTTTTTATTATAGACTTTAAGTAGTCAGACAAGCAGCTTATTTTTGTTCAAAGTAATATAGCAGGTTGCACTTAGATACCATTAAGATGGCTGGATAATGCTAAACTTAGATATTAGAGATATTTATGTAGTTACAAATGTAATTCCAAAAACCTAATAAAGTACTAGTATGATTGCTTATATATAAAAAAATAAAAAAAATATATATATCACAAAGTTTTTCTAGAATGGCTCAAATTTTTCTAGGTAGTACAAAAGTACTAAATTTGATTGGTTAATTTATATAACCTTATAAGTTAATTTAATTAATAAATTTTTATATCTACTTTTTAAAAAGTTATATCTTATTAAGTTTTTAATCAAATTTAATAATTTTATTATCATTAAAATTAGAAAGATCTGGTCTATAAACTTTTCTTATAAATTAATATTAGTTTATTTAATATAATTTTTTATAAAATTAAATATAAAAAAAATTTACTATTGAGTTTATATATAATTTCAATATAGTACCCTCTATCTTAAGAATAAGGAGCATATTTAAAATTATATATAAACCTAATAGTAAATTTTTTATTTAATTTTATAAAAAATTATATTAAATAATTTAATTTTAATTATTATATTAAGTAATAGTTGTAGAGTAGGTCTTTTTAAGTACAATAATAGTAAAATTATTAAAATAATTTAAAAACTTATTAAAATATGAATTTTTAAAGATTAAGATATAAACTTATAAAATAAAATTAACTAATAAATTTATGTAAATTAACTAATTAAATTTATTATTTTTGTACTATTTAAGGAAATTTTAACCCATTTAAGTAAACTTTATTATATATATAAATAAATTTTTTTAAAATAATACAATATTTCAAAATTTTACTATAATAGATAAATAATTTTATTTATAATATTATGAAATTTTTTTATTTATTAATAAAAAAATAATAAAATTTTATTAGTAGCATATATTAATTTTAAATAAAAATTTTAATATATAATGTTTAACTATATAAAAATATTCTACATGCCCTCTATTCTTAAATAAGTAATAGTCTGAAGATTATTAAAAAGTTAATATAATTCAAAAATAGAAGATAGTTGTTATAAATTAATTGTAAATAAAGAAGAAGATAGAATATATAATAAATGTTAAAAGACAACAAAATATTATAATGAGTTATATAAGTAAATTCAAAGATGTGACAAATATAATGAATTGTTGCTAGAAAAATAGTTATATCATATAACATTCTTCAAAGATACAAAAGGCAGTTTTTCAATTTAGTACTGATCAAGGTGATTAAAGAAGAGTATTACAAAATAAGTATTATAATTTTAAAAGAACATGTGTTTATTTTACAAATTAAAAAAAGCTTTATTAACTTTATTAATATTTTAGAGACAATACAATTATATTATTAGAAACAATTCTGAATTCTTGAATAATACTTTGATACTTGATTTTGATGATTAACTTAGTTCTTGGAGAAGAAGGTTTCACTCTTTTTATAATAAATTCACTGTAAAAAGAGCCTACACAGGACTATAACTCTTCTTATTATTTTCAACACTTTCCAACTTTATTTGTTATAATCTTTAACTTTCTTTTATACAGCTTTTCATTACTTTATCATTTTTTATAGCTTTTATAAAATTGATAAAAAATATTTCAGTTTTACAATTCTAGAGCTGAACTCATCATATTGTTTTTAATTACATTCTTCTTAACATTGCCTTACACCTAATCCAAGTAAGGCAGATGGAGTTAACATCTATTATCAGCACAACAGATTGGTCTAGGTTAATCTTACTTTAATTAGAAAAGGTAGTAAGGTTCTGCATAGAGGCTTGTGTACTTTTATATAGCTTTTTTGAGGCCAGGCATACATGTTTTAGATGAATCATTATGGGCAACTTTAATTAAATAAGTATGCTATAATAACATCCATTTTACAGGTTCTACAAGGTGTTGGTTTTGTCTCTGACAATATGCAATATTAAAAAAGTTTATATAAAGTATAGAGTTTTGTCAAAATTAATGTAACAAAGTAGTATACATTTTATAATGCAAATTCTTCTCAGGTTGAGCTTCTAATATTAGTTAAGCTTTTTATAAATAATTTATGATTATAAAATAAAAGGATGTTTATAGCATAATCAATAGAACAATAAACAACAATCAACAGGTTTGGAGCTATAAATAATCATTGTTTGTTATGCATTATTTACATTTAGAAATTTAGATATATTTTTTTCTTTAGAACATTCTTTAGTAAAAACTTATTTTAATACAGATTATCATCAGTTTTGAGCATGTTTAATCTATAAAAAAAATAAATATATTTATATAAAAGATAATATTTGTTAATATCTTATATTTATTTTTAGAGAATCAAATATAAAATTGAATATAAGTGAATATTATATTAAGTTTAATAAATAATTAGATGTTTATATTGAGGGTTATGTACAAAAGCAAGGTATTCAATATAGTGATGAATATAGTATGTATTTTTATACATATTATAACATATATAAAATAATTATGCAAAAAAGATTACAAGATTCAATAGTATATAAAAAAAAAAGAGTTGGTTTTGATTTACCAAATATATAATCATAACACAGTTTAAAATTTTATAATACTTACTCTCTAAATGCACTCAAAAGTTTATAATCAATTTTTTAAAATGCAAAATTTCTTATTATAGTGAAACATCCTAAAAGTGTTCTCTTTAAATATGTTTTTAAATTATATTACAAATATATATTAGATTTTTATAAAAGCATATTTTTTGTTATTTGTAAACTTATTTTGTATATGTTGTAAAAATTTAACCACTATAGAATGTATATATAATAATCTAATTATAAATTTTTTTTTATAATTCATGATTGAACTATTATATAAAATTTGATGAATATATATATCTAATTATAATTAAATACAATTTTAACTAGAAAAAATAATAAAAGAATATATAGTCAAATATTAGATATTATACTAATTATAATAAGTATATTCTTTACCAAGCTTTGTTCTAAAATATTAAAAATAACATTTTTAATTAAGCAATATAAATAATCAGGTAAAATAGTATTAAGTATTAAAAAAAAGTTAAAATAAATATAACAAAAATAAATAGTATTATATAAGCAATGGTAAAAAAGATAAAAACATAAATAATATAACAATTATGTAACAGAGATGATTATAAAAAGACATAATAAAACAAGATATGTATTAACATAATACTTTAAGAAATCTTTTTTGTTTTGACAACAAATTAATCAAGTTATATTTGGCCAAGTTTTTAATAAGGCTGTTCTTTGTGCACATTCTTTAATATATATAAATTCAGTGCAAAATGCAGAAGACTGCTGCATATTTAATATTAAATTATTAAAAGGTTTTAAAATCAACAAGTTACTTAATCTTTGAGTTCTAGAAAGCATTATATATATACTATTATTTGCATATTTTTAAGTTAAATTAGCAATTGTTTTTTAAAAAATACATTCTTGTAACTTAAAGTTAGTAAAAGCATATGCAGACATTAAAGTTGATATTATTGAAAATTTTAACATATTTTAGATATATCTCATTTCCAAAAAGAGTAGACATAGGTTTGTTTAATAAGATAAATATGTACTTGATTATATAGTAGGGTTTATAGATTCTAGATGATTTGCCATCTAATTTGATAACAACATATTTTGGTAGTGTTTTTAGTACTATAGCATTTTTACATAAAAACAAAACATTGATAAAAATTTTGTCATATATAATCTTTCGAAGGATTCCTAGTGAGCCATTAGCTAGACTATTACTAGTGCATATATTAACTATTAAACAGATTTTCATACTGATTGATAAGGGTAAAACTCTGCAAAAAGTATTTTTCTTACTATTAGATGTCAACAAGAATTTAAGATAGTTATTTTCAGTAAGAGTTTTTTGATTGTAAGAATTCTGTGCACAAGAGTAGATGACAGATAGATTATTATTATAAGCATGCTTATTAATAGCTTCAAAATTAAGTTAATGCAAAGATTATTTTGTTTAACAAGAAAAGTTGCATTTCTTTATTTTCTAGAGTTGATTACATTATCTTCAAAAATTCTTGACCTTAAGGCTGCTATTTGGATTTCAGTAAAATTTCTGTAATGCATATTTTTGTAGAAGCTTGTGAAAAAAAAATCATCTATCTGTCACATCAGAATCATTAGCTGAATTGCATGCTTAATATTTAACCAAAGGTTTCTTCTAGTGGCATTAGTAACAGTTCATAAGTTAATAGATAGTTGTCAATATTACACTTTTATTTCATGCTTTTTAAATTAATAGGTTCAAGTAAAGAGAAAAAAAGTGTAATTATATCAAGTATATATAGTGCTTTGTCTAAAACAAACAGTAATTGCATGAATTTTCTAGCAAATAATATGTTTATTCTAGCAAATAGAACAGAATTATTATTTGCTTTTATCTTTTTCAAGAAAGTATGAAATTGAGTGAAAAGCTTTTGTCCAATTATAGAGACTTCATCTATGATGGCATACTCTATTTTAGACCAATATTCTTGAAGCTAACATAGAGATTCATTTGACAATTTAGAATAATTACTTCCTTCATTAAAACTGAATCTACAAGTAGAATATATAGTACTTTCACTTACATTCACAGCTGCATTTCCAGTAAGTGCTAAAACTATAAAAGAGTTACTCTGCAAAGTATGCTCAAAATAAGAACATATTGCATAAATAACTCTGGATTTACTAGTTTTACTAGTACCAGTGAGATAAAACAACAGTTGAGATAGTTTATTGCTAGTAATTTGTTTATTTGTTCAATTATGACACAGAATAGAAAATAGGCTTTTTTCTGCTTATCATTTAAGCCACATGCAAACCATTCTAAGGAATCAGTATTTTCTCTAATAGTAATATTTAAGTTGGTATTTTCATAATAATTATGATTAAAATTCATAAAATATTTATTAGCAGAATATCTTTTTAGTAGTAAAAGCAATCTTATTTTGCAGAGTTGTTTTTCGAGAGAATATTATACTTTGCCAAATTTTTAATAGATTATTATTATATATGTTGCTTAAATGCATAGTTTCTAATCTAAGATTGGTGATAAATGTTATATTATTCAATAATGAAAAATTTTTTAAAGTAAATCTGCCTTGAATTTACAAGTAGCTTATAGTATAATCAACCAATATAGTGTTTTTAGACCAGATCTAATAACAACATTAGGGTAGAACTTAGGCATATTATTATTAAGAGCATCATTAACTATTAAGATCTAATTTATCATATGAATTACATTCAGAGTCAGAATGATTTACATGATAGGCCTTTGCAAGAATTAGATTTTTCAATGCATTTTTGTGTAATTTTTACTTAAAAGCTGTTTTTTCAAAGCATCTATATAATAATTCTATGTTATGAATTACAAATTTAAGGCAAAAAAATAACTAAAAACTATTCTTTTTTTTTAGTTTTTAAAAGAAAGGTCTATTCTTTATTTCTTTATTAATTAGTCAATTTATATATATAAGATACATGTAGAAGAAACTAAACTAGAGGAGATAGGATTAAAAGTACTTTACTCTCAACTTATTCTTTACTAGAATGGTTAATAGACCTTTAGTCTATGATAAGATGACTGAAAGAAGATTGTTCACAGGTAATATAATAATGAATTTTTTCATTTAGTATAAAGAGTAAAATTGGTTTAGTTTTAACCAGTATTGGAGATTGTAGAGGTAATGAAGTTGGTTACAAGAAACATGTTGTATCATTTGAGAGCAAAGCCAAAGTTCTTTATATATTGCAGAGATAATATTGTAATATATAAGAGAAGCATATTTGTATTTGTGTTTGTTATTTTTAAACAGTACCAAGATGTTGCTAGTTATTAAACCTAATAGTATTATTTGTCAATATGGTTTAAAATAAAGGCTTAAGTAAAATTATTTATCTCATGACAAGGTATTTCTAAATTGTTTTCTGCTTTATATACTGCATGTGTTATTAATATTGTAAAACATAAATAGTTTCTATCATACTAAATTTATCTCACCTACCAATACCAACCACACCCAAGCTATTGATTTTACTACTGCCCATATTAATAGCAACTTCAAAAAACTTAACAAAACAAGCCAAGATCTTATTTCTAACATCTTCTCTTCTACTAACAGTGTTCCTCTATCTCCTACATCTGACGTACACTCTCACACTTGCCTAAAATATCTGTTCCAATTGGTTGTACCAAAAGAAATAGGCATCATTATCTTATCAAAAAATATGTTACCTAAAACAATGAAGACTATTATCTTACTTGTATGAATGCCTCATCCCAGCATAAGGCTAGTTTATCTCAAACCAAGAAAAATCTTACCCAAATTTTTCAAAATATCTTAATGGAATCCAACCAAACTACTACCCTCTATACTAATTTTTCCAACCAAACTTCCTCTACTACTTCTGACTTTATTGACTCTTTTTTCGCTACAACCACTCATACTAACTCTACTTCCAATCAACCTTTTATTACTAATATTTCTGATAATTTCAACTTAAATACTAATAACTCTAGCAATACTAACCAACCTGACAGTACCTCTAACAAACCTCTTCTTCAAACTTACTCCAGTATGGCTAAACCAAAATCCAACCCTATATATAACTGGCTTGCAAATTTTCCAATTACTGAAAAAATGCAACCTAACAAAAAATTACAGACTACATTCTCTCTTCAACTCTTTATTTTTCTTAAAAAATTTCTTTATGATTTTTATCCTAGTAAAGAAATTAAGCCTGCCACCTCTACTCAATATGCACTTAAGGTCTCATTTTATTATATCATCTGTATCATGACTGGGCAACAGCCAGAATTCTTAACTGACCTTATTTATAGTAGTAATCTTAATATTGACAAAAGTGTTACTATTCCTTTTGATCTCCTTAAATCAACTCTCAAAAACCTACTTCTCAAATTTATAACTGTTTTCTTTACAAAACTTAATTATCTTGAAATCTTTGTCTTATCAGTCACAATCCCTCCATATACTGCTCACAATCATCTTCAACTCTGTCTTAACCTTGCATGACTCCACCTTTTTCTATCTAATAACTATCAATCAATTGATTACCAAAAATTTGCTAAAGATTTAAAGCTTAGACCTAAAAGATTCAAAATTGAATCTTTTATTCAAATTACTGATCTTGATCAAAAATATCTTACCATTCAATCAGATGCTAGATTTAACATTAAGCTCTTCTTTAATGTTCCAAAAATGCTGTTTCTTGAAAGATTCTGCATTCTCTCTTTAAAAAACTCTCTTGATCATTTTAATTCTTAGTTCGAAACCTACTACCTCCTTTATAGTCGACAATTTTCTTCTACTATTAACAAAGAAAAAGTCAAAACTTCCCTTCAGATTCAATTCCGTCAGCACTTTATTCTTCAACTCTACAAGCATCTTCCTGAATCTTATATATTTCAAAAACCCAATTCACTTTATGAGCAACATGAGGAGGCATCACGTATTGCAAATTTCTATTGCCTAACTTGTAACAACAAATCATGCCAATACCTTAATAACAAAAAATTCCATGACAGTACTAAACACTTTAATGATATACTAAGCAAATCATGCTTATCATTCCCATCTAAAGAAGATGAAATATGGATTCATCCTACTTTTAACACTACACTATTTCACAAAAACAAAGAATATGCTGCTTCACTCGACCAACCCATTCCTACTAAAGTTTTGGACACATTGGCTGATCAAGCTAAAGACTTTGTTTGTAAACAAAACAAAGTTAAAACAAATTCTAAACATCATAATTATTACTTCTACTGCTACCTCTTATTATATTATCAAACTGTAGCAGAAAATCATAACATATAGTCTCTTTCTAAGAAGAAGGCAATTAACTTATTAATAAAAAACATTATTGATACTAAATTCCTCACCCAAATCATTACCTACTTTGACATTATCAAAAACCAAAAATCTACATACTTACAAATTGTCAAATATTTCAATGATACTGCCTATCCTGCAGCTGAGAAATTT